GGGGAACTTACCTCCTCCTGCTGCTTCCTCCTCTTCCTCATAGGTGTGGAGCTCCCCCTCTCCCGCGAGTATCGCGGGTCCCCCCCTTGTGTTTATCTAATTCCCCCTTGAAGCCGTCCGTGCTTGTAGCCGCCGCCACCTCCTGTGGCAGTGAATTCCATGTGTTCATCACTCTTTGGGTGAAGCAGGACTTCCTTTTATCTGTTCTGACCCGACCGCTCAGCAAGTCTGTTCTAACGTGTGACACACACCCTTCTTCTTAGGGATGTGGTTTTGAAATGGTCTCTCCTGCCTTTTTTGACTCTCAGCCGCACTGTCACTGGAGTCTGGCATATTTCCTTCCCGTTGTGCAACCCGACCGCTCAGCAAGTCTGTTCTAACGTGTGACACACACCCTTCTTCTTAGGGATGTGGTTTTGAAATGGTCTCTCCTGCCTTTTTTGACTCTCAGCCGCACTGTCACTGGAGTCTGGCATATTTCCTTCCCGTTGTGCCAGGGATTCTCCTTCTGTTTGCCAGCAGCCGTGCCCAGCTCTTCCGGGTGGGGCCTTCCCCTCTGGCTGATCCCTCCCGGTCTTGAGTGCAGCTTAGCTTCTTCCTACAGCTCCTGGGAACCGGTTTTCTGTTCCCGCTCAGGTCTTTTTCTCTCCGCAGTGTCTTCGTTTCCCAAGAAAATCTTGCCTCGTAACAGGCCAAGAACAATCCCCCGCCAGAGCGCCCAGACTGTGGGTGTGTAAGGCTTCCTAGAACGATGGGCTACCCCATTCATAAGAAAGATAAATTACGGAGGGTTTAAAAAAAAAAAAAGAATATAAGAATGCTGTTTTCCTTCCCTCCAGCAATAATGGGAGTTGGTGATATGCTAGGTCTTTGGGCGAAAAAAATATTTTTTTGTGGGGGCGTGGTGCGGGGGGGGGGGGGGGGAATCTGCGTTCCCCGAGTCTTGGTGCTGATATAATTTGTGCTCTGTACGAAGGGGCTCGAAATATGCATAATACATAGAAGCACAATGCACAGCAATAATAAACAGGGCCCCAACGGCAACCAACAGAGCCCCCTCCCGGTCTCCCACTTCTGTTCGAAGCCTCGTACCTACAAAAAACATTAGCGCTGGCCAAGTGATCCCGCGTGGGCCAGAAGTGCACTATTGATTGAGCGCGTCTGACCCCAGAATGTGCACCTGGAAGCGTTTAAGCTTGGTTGGGCTGATGCAGTTATAGATTTTGCGTCTGCTCTCGGAGGGCGGCAGCGTCTCAGCTGGCCCACCACACTGGATTGCTCTGCTCAGGAATCGCCTCGGCACGCATTTGCCAAGGAGAGCTTGCAGCCGTGAAGTCTCATAAAGACGCCTTGTCCAGCGGCCGACCCGTTGTTTCTTCCAGGAGGAGGACTCTCGGAAATATTTTATTTTTGAACTAAGATTTGAAGTGTCCCTTGTTAGACATGCTCCTTAATGGTCCCGGGAATCTGGATTTCGGAAATATTCTCTGAAAAATCTTCCTTGCAGATCCTGTGAATTGGCCTGTCTTTTAAGCTGTCGCTTTCCGTTTCCAAAACTGCTGGTCTCTGAAGACTCTGCGGCCCTTCATAGCTATTTGGGCTTGGGTATAATGCAAACGGAAGTCTCACCAGTTCATGGCTGACGTGCGGGGTCTGCTGAACGCTTTGATAATGACCAGTTTTTCTGTAATTTTTAAGGGAAGCTTGATGCAGCTGTGAGAAACACTGGTGGAACCGAAGTACAGTCTGCAATCGTTCCAACTCCAAAAAACCCATTTTCTTTGTTTTTTGCTGGCTGTGAGAAGCTATGCTGTCTAGTTCAGAGTGCCCCCCCCCAAACGTTGACCTTTCTTGGCACCTACCAAAGTGGGTGGGGCTAGATGGGGCTCCTCCCCCACAGGGTTTCAGATTGGCCCTTGGAGATCAGATTGGCTAGGGAGATTAAACTAACATTGTTTGGGGGGCAGCTCCCCTGCAGTGTTGGTTTTATTCTTCCTCACCCCTTTCCCCCAGTTTCACACCTTTTCCCCACACTTAGCCAGTTTGGTGTAGTGGTGAGGAGTGTCGGAGTCTAATCTGGAGAACCGGGTCTGATACCCCAACTCCTCCTCCACGTGAAGCCAGTTGGGTCACTTTGGATCGGTCGCAGTTCTCTCAGAACTCTCTCAGTCCCCCTACCTCACAGGGTTTCAGTTGTGGGGAGAGGAAGGGAAGGTGACTGTAAGCCGCTATGAGACTCCTTCAGGTAGTAAAGAGCAGGGTGTAAAAACCAACTCTTCTTCTTCAGCATATTTTTTAATTACCCTCTTTTCCCTTCCCCTTGGGCGTCCTCTGTGCTTGGCTCTACCTCCCGTGGCAGCCATTTTGTGCTTGGCTCTACCTCCCGTGGCAGCCATTTTGTGCTTGGCTCTACCTCCCGTGGCAGCCATTTTGTGCTTGGCTCTACCTCCTGTGGCAGCCATTTTGTGCTCGGCTCTACCTCCCGTGGCAGCCATTTTGTGCTCGGCTCTACCTCCCGTGGCAGCCATTTTGTGGTTGCACCCACTGCCCTGGGGTAGAATTCTGAAGGTGCCCACCGGCTCGAAAAGGTTGGGGACCCCTTGTCTAGTTTGTTGATTTCAGGTTCTTGATTCTCCTGGTGTCCCAAGCAAACTGAATAATACGTCCCCCCCCCTTGTGCCTCTGAGCGCTGGGCTCTCGGTGTCCCAAGCAAACTGAATAATACGTCCCGTCCCCCCTTTGTGCATCTGAGCGCTGGGCTCTCAGACTCTTGGTGTGATCTCAGAACTGCTTGTGCCTCTGCCCTCCCCCTTATTTTTCTCACCAGCACCAGCTTCAGGCCCAGCACCTCTCCCATCATGCACCCCCCATCCCGCTGACCCCTCACCCCTCCAGCGTGCAGTCGGCAAGCCTGGCGACCATCGGCAGCGCTTCTGGGCTCTTGGCGCTCTCCGGGGCCCTGGGGGCTCAGGCCCAGCTTGTCCCAAAGGACGATCGAGGACTTCATGATCCTGAGCACAGAGGTACGGGGTGGATGCTGGCAGCAGTGTGATATGGGAGCGCCTGTCCGAAGAACCAGGGGATAAAAGCGGGTCAGTGATACCACACAGCTATAGCAGAGCTCCCATCTTCACCTGGTCAAGCCTGTAAATTCAGCACGAGGCACACTTCCGTAGGAAGGGAGTTCCAGAGCTCAGGCGCCACCACTAAAAAGACCCTAGCTCTAGGGCCCGCCCGCCAAGACTGGCGCCAAATGCCCAGGCTTCACCTGCAGGCGTGTTCTTCTTGGCTGAATTCAGCAAGACAACTTCTTGGCTGATTTTAAGGGATTTGGACTAGGAGACTGCCTGGGTTCAGATCCCCATTCCGCCATGGAAGCCCACTTGAGTGGCTCTGGGCCAGTCAGCCTGGCCTACCTCACAGGGCTGTTGTAAGGATAAAATGGAGGAGAGGAGCACGATGGGGTGCCCGTTGGTGATAAAGACGGTGGGTAAGCAACATAAATCAGCATTGACCCAGTTTTAGAATTGATTGCATTTTTCTCTCTCTTTCTTCGGTGGCCTTTTTTATCCTTGTTTTTACTGTTTTTAAAAGAATCCTTAGTGTCGGAAGCAGGTGCTTACAGGAGACAGTGGGGGCATGGATCTTTTCAATAAAATGCCTTTAGCAAGCCAATGGGGAAGTGATGGGTGTGTGTGTGTGGACTGGGGAGTTTCAGTCACCCAGGCAAGCCAAACTGAGTGTCCCAGCTGAGACCTGGGCAAGAGCATAAGGTCGTGAAGGTCTCATGAAGTCTAATTGTTACAGTCTGTCAGGGGTCCAACAGGAGCATCCCCAGTACATTAAATGACCCCTAGAATAACCCCTAGAAGTGAAACATGTGTCCTTTTGATTATCCCCAGCATCTGGCATTTGGTGGTAGAGTGCCTCTGTCCATGGAGGTTCAGTTTAGCTTTTCTAGGTCCTCAGAGAGCAAGTTGGCAGCTTCCATACTGAGATTTGTGATTTTGGTAAGCTGTAGATAGTGGTTTTAAGCAGGGCTTTTTTAATTTTTGTTTTGGAAAAAGAGGTGCCTGAAGTCTCAAGAGGGAAATGAAGTTTTCAGTCTGTATATTGAAAACTCATGAACTAAAAACAATTTTGTCAAAGAGGTTCCTGAACTCTGTTCCGGCGCGTTCCCCCAGAACCCCCCCCCCCGGTTTTAAGCAATTACGGGCAATGTTCCCTCTAAGCTGTGGAGTCCTGTGAGCAAAAATTCTACCTTGTGAAGCTACTGGCATTAAAAGTTGTGAGCTAGCCACTTGGCTACTGTATGCATTAGTTTGCTTTGGAGCCATCCTTCCAGAGCTAAGACAAAAATGTGTGAGCTGGAGGCTAAAAAACTGTGAGCTAGCTCACACTAACTCAGCTTAGAGGGAACACTGATTACGGGGATAGGAGATGGACTTGGGAGTGTTAGGATTAGGGGAAGGGGGGTGCAAGGGGCAGGGGAAATGAGGATGGGGGGGTGGCCTGCTTCCTTGATTTTCGCTTTCACAACGGTGGGCAAGGCTGTGTTCGGATTGTGTTGCTGGGCTACTGACGTTTATCACTTCTCAGCCCCTCTTCCTTTCCCCTTTGATACGTGGTTTATATGTGGTCCTTTAAGTCTAAGCTTTTTGGGTGGGTGGGTGGCTCTGGAATTCTCGAAAATTAGAGTTTTACTTTTAAGGTGCCTCAAAGACCAGAATGTAGAGACGTAAATCTTGCAGATGTGTGCTAATACTCCCCCCCACACACACACACACACAGAGTGTTATCTTGGGAGGGAAAGTATCATCTGAAAAAATACTGTCTGTGCAAGATGAATGTTACGGAAATGAACCCATCAAATCCATTTTTGCTAAGGGGCAATTTAAAAGGGAAAAAAAACCCTCAGTCTTTCAGTTTGTTCTGACCCAGTGTAGTATAGTGCTTAGAGGAGGACCCGGGTTTGAATCCCTACTCAGCTTTGAAGCTCACTGGGTGACTGTGTGCCAGTCGCCCTCTCTCAGCCTGCTATACCTTGCAGGGCTGTTGAGAAAGAACATGGAGGAAGGGAGAACCACTTATGGAAGCACGCCAGGATAGAAAAATGTACTTTTGTGGTCATGTGGGACAAAATATTCGAAACATCCATCAAATAGAAGCGCAGTCTGGTAGATATAGTCTCTGGCGCTGTAAACCTACATTAATACCTTGACTGGTCCCCAGTGTGCCTGTTTATGGCTAAAAGGGGAAAAAAACGTTTAGCAAACATCTCTGTTTAGTCACCTGGAGGGAATCTCCTCTCACCATAGGTGACCAGGCTGTATTCAAGCCTCATAATTTGTCAGTGGGAAAGGGGGAGCAGAGAAGTAACAGATCCTGCACTTAGCTCTGCCAGGGTGCTATCAAACAAACAGCGGCAATGCACCTTAGTTTTTTTGGGTTTTTTCTAAAATTTTAATTGCAGCTTAGCAATAAAGGCTATTCTAACCCATTTAGTAATAGCGAAGGGGAGGGATGAAAGCCCCCCCCCCCGCATGCACAGACAATGTCTTGTTTGCAATTTCAAATGAAATGGGAAGCGTGTGGTTTGTGTGTCCTGCGTGTTGCTAAATTCTCATCCTTTCTTGTCATTCCCCCCCCTCCTCGCACTGTTGCTGATCGGTGTTGCTATGGCGACAGAGAGAGACCCGGGTCCCGTAAGTCTCTGTTTTCCTTTCCGTTTCTTGCTCCCCCACCCCCATTTTCCAGTTGTTTGGGCTTCTTCCCCCTTCCTTGGCCAAGAGAAAGCATTGGCCAAAAGGAGGAGGAGGAGGGGTGCGGAAAGGGCTGGCTGGATGTGCGCTTGTGTGTGCGCGCGCACGCGCGCGCATTCTTAAAGCTGCTTTTGTGTGTATTTGGAGCAGGGGGGGGACCTACTCAGCAATGGGGTGGGGAGCATCTGTCCCACTGGTTGTCAGGCAAGCTAAGAGAACTATAGCCCACTGTTCCCCACTTGGGTGTGGGGTGTTCAAGGATGGGGGGGGAGGTCATGTGCACCCTCCCATTATGTTTTGGCGGGCATGATCCTGAGAGAGCCGTGTGCATGAGCATCAGGCTTTTGAGGAAGGAGTCCGGCATTCGAAGCGTCTTTGATTTGGGGCCAGCTCTTCATCCGGTCTACCTTGCAGGGTTCTTAAGAGGATGAGATGAGATGAAGCCACCCTATGTATGTCTCCCTTAGGTTTTTGGAGGAGCAGGGGGGATGGAATAGGGGTGACTGTTCCCCATCTCCAGTTCAGTTGGTTAGCAGCCTTCCTTCTCCCCATGCCCCGTTCTAAAGGACATTTTTATACAGTCAGAAGCGTTGCATGATAAAACACAAAGTTATGGCACTTAAAAAAAAAAAGTTGCCCGTACTCAAGCAAATCTCAATGTTTCCTCCACACAAGACAAAATAAATACGTTAAAACCGGTGCGTCTAGAGACGTAGCACATCAAGCAGAAGACAAAAGCTGACATGCTAAATTTCTACATGCAGGGAATGTTAATTCCCTCCCCCCCCCCCCCCCCGTTTCTCACCATAAGCGAGAGATCCCTGGGTCTTCTGCTTACTATGATGTTTCATGTCTGAGCACAAAATCTGTTACAAGCAATGTTTCCTCTAAGATGTGGAGTCTTGTGAGCAAAAATTCTACCTTGTGAGCGACGGGCATTAAAGTTGTGAGCGAGCGATTTGCCTGCTGCATAAATTAGTTTGCTCTGGAGCCCTCCTTCCTGAGTGAAGACAAAAAAGTGTGAGCCAGAGGCTAAAAAACTGTGTGCTAGCTCACACCAACTCAGCTTAGAGGGAACTCTGGTTACAAGTAGCCAAAATGTCCGGTCTCTCTTGGTTCGTGCGCTAGCATGAAGTTGAGTAGGGAATGCCCTGTCAAATGCTGTCAGGGGCAGGTGATAAGTTGAGCACAGGCCCATAGCTACAGTGGGACATCTCTGGGCCAGGTCCCCCGACTTGCTGACAAGGCTCCCTGACTACTTCCCAGCCAGCCCAGGGAGTCACAACCTCCTCTCCTGGATTAAATTGATTAAGCAGTGCCCCCTAAGATATTTAAATGCCCCTTGACTTTAAAAAATCCTGGCTACAGGGTTTTTTGAGCAGCATTTCCATTGGCTAACATGTTGGGGGGTGGGGTGGGGGGTGGGCATCTGGCCAGATCTCAGCTTTCAATGCCAGCCCTAGAGCACTTCTGAGCATGAACAGAGAGCAGTCTGCAAGATGTGAATTGCAGCTCATGCTCTGGCTTAAGAGCTGGGGGGGGGGCACTACCTGACTGGAGCCCCAGAACCTCTTTTTTAAGGGTCCTGAAGTGTGAAAGTTGTACTCTGTTGATGCCCAAAGGCACCGTCAAGCTTTCAATACCCTCTTCTGCCTGTAGTCTTGTGTTTACGGTGAGGAAGAACGTGATTGTGAATCGTCGGTTGGGGGGGATAGAGACATATCTTTCTAGGGGCCCCCTCCAATGTTCCCTCTAAGCTGTGGAGTCTTGTGAGAAAAAATTCTACTTTGTGAGCTACTGGCATTAAAGTTGGGAGCAAGTGATTTGGCTACTGCATAAATTACTTTGCTCTGGAGCCATCCTTCCTGAGCTAAGACAAAAATGTGTGAGCCGGTGGCTAAAAAACCGTGAGCTAGCTCACACTAACTCAGCTTAGAGGGAACACTGGCCCCCTCTCTAAAAAGTGATCTGTGTGGTGGTGGCGGGGGGGGGTGGTTGAGAAGTTTACCTGCTGTCACTGATGTGTTTCCTTTCAATGGGGGGTGGGTCTCCTCTTTGCCCCTCTCCCTTCTCCAGAGTTCGTTAGCCCTGTCCAACGGAGAAAGGATGCGGGCCATTTCGGACTACCTGACCGGTGGCAAAAAGAGGAAGTCAGAGGAGAAAGATTACGGCACAGACTATGTATGTTTTCGTTGAGGGTTGGGAGGTGCCTGTGTGAGGGAAGCTACAGGGTGGGGACTGGAGGTGGGCCGTGTTCTCCGGAGGGACTTTTTAGGCCGTTTGGTCTTGCGGCACCAAAGGGGGGGTGGCGGCAAACAAGGCATGCCTCTTGAGCACATGCAGTGTGTCTCCCCCCCTTTCCCAGTGAATTAGTCTGCTGAGAACTTTCTCTTCCTTCTCACCCCGCTTTGTTCTAGCTAGAAATAGACTTCCAGTTTTAAATACTGGCGCTACAGATGTGAGAATTGCACAGTGGAGATTCCCCGCCCCCAATCTCAGGGTGGGATGTGGTGGGATATCCGTACTCTCTCCTTCCTCCCCACACTTGGTTTTTTTGGGGGGGGGCCTAGCAAGGGGCCCCCCCCCCCACCCATGCAACCTGTACCTTGCGGCCTGTTTGAAAATCTCCCACTGGTGTGGTCTGCAAGGGGGTGTGCGCACGTTCAGTTTGTGGAGTCATAAGTGGTACCGATTTGGGTTAGAAGGAGCAGCGTCCAGATCAGGTATATTTACAGGTGGACTTTGGCTCCTCCCCACCCCCCGGGTCTCTGCTTTAATTTTCTAAAACGCTGCTGAAAGCGCAAACTAAAACGAAGGGAGGGGGGATAGTTCTGGTCATGTGCTTTGCATATGCTCAGAATCCTTGCAAGGTATTTGAAGACGGGTGTGTGTGTGTGTCAGGAGAGGGAATCCTTCTGGGGTTTGAGAAGGGGGCTCCGTGAATCTGTGGAGTAATATTTGCTCTTCTTCTCCCCCCCCCCCCGCCGGCAAGTTTTCAGGGGAGCGACGGAGAGAAGAGCGACGATAACCTTGTGGTGGACGAGGTAGGAGAATGTGTGCTGCCTTCTGGCTGGGGCGTACGCGTGTCGTGCGTGATGAGGCTTAAGCATTCTTTATGGGAGTGAAGGTTCACGCCGCTTTGCCCTGCGGTGTGGGGGGGCTGGTTGATATGGAACGTATTTCCATTTTGTAGAATTTGCATTGGGAGAAGGGGAGTCAGGTAGGATTCCTCCGGCAGTGAAATATCGGTGCGCTGGGCTGTTGGAAAGGCAGAGAGACCCAAATCCTGTGATGTCCAGCCACTGCCTCTGGCTTCAAAGAGATCAGCGAGGTATTGCGCACGCCATTTCGAGCGTATCTTCACAACCCATGAAGCCTAGAAGCCTGTCTTCTTTTATGGAACTTGGGGCATAAATGCACAGCTCTGGGTGGGAGGACACTGTGGAGAGCCAGTCGTAGGCGCACCTTCTGTACCAGCAATGGATGTCAGGACTGGGATGAGAGGGGCTGTGGCTCAGTAGCAGAACATCTGCTTGGCATGCAGAAGGTCCCAGGTTCAATTCCCTGGCATCTCTAGCTAAAAGATCAGGTAGTAGGGGGATGTGAAAGATCTTAGCCTCAGACCCTGAAAAGCAGCTGCCAGTCAGAGCAGGCAATACTGACCTTGATAGAGTAATGGTTGATAAGGCAGCCTCATCTGTGATTGAGGGCAGAGAGGCCATCATTAAATCCAAGGGCCAGGGTAACGGCTTCAGTGTCTGGATCTGAATGTGAACTTGGCAGTGAAGTCTCTTTGGTTGCTATGATGATCTCACCCTCTCCCCTCCTTCACGTACGGGATTTTCCCTTCTTTCCTGCTGAGCAGACCCCGTATCTATTTTCTTCTTATCTGGTTGTCTATGGCTGTCCCACTCAGTTGCTTTATTATAGATAGGTAGAGAGAGAGTTGCTGGCCCTGCCCAGGGAATTGAGGGAAGGGACCAAATCACCTTCTTATATTCAACTGAAATGGCACAAGAGTGGCTTTTGACAGTTCAAAGTAAGCAAAAAAAAATTTTTTTAACTTAGAGGAGAAAAGGTCAGGTGGAATCGGGTAGGATGTATGAGGTAGACCAATAATAAAACTGAGGTGACTTTATAATCACACTAATTCTGGATAATTTGTTGCCAACAAGTAAGTGTTCCTGCTATTCAAAAAGGCCTTGTGAAACTTTGAGGAAAGAGGCTTTCTTTTCACTTTCTGCTTAACCACTCAAGCATTGGTTTCTGAGTTTCACTGATTCTTAAAGTCTAGAAGGGAGGAACCTACAATCAAGTTCCCCAAATCCTTCTATATACACAGACCAGGGATCACTCCTCTTTTAAGAGCTATCTCCCTTTTCACTGGCAGGGATTACTTCTCTTAACTAGAAGCTCTGTCCGTTTTCGACTTGAACATGGATCCTCTCTGATCCTCTCACTCCTTTTGCCTTCTTCCCAGTCCACAGTCAGCACTTAACTGTCTTTTCTTCAACTGTCAGTTCCTGACTGTCATTTCTTAACTTCCACAGAATTCCATTGGAACAGCCTGTCTCTCAAAGGTTCTCAGATGCTGTTAGGCATTAACCCATGACAGTCCGTCACAGTCGCTTTGGGGCCGATCATGCACTTTCTCTCTCAGCCTAATCTACATCATAGGGCTATTTTGAGAACAAATCAGGTAGGATAAAACAGTGGCGGTACAATGTGCACTGCCCTGTGCTCCTTGGAGGATTGGTGTGATGGAAATTCAGTCAATCGCTCAATAACATAAAATGTCTTGAAACTAAACATATGATTCCAGGCAATTACGGGAACTTTCCCAAGTCATTAAATGGCAGGGAAAGGTCTTTGTCGGCATCTACAGGACATTAGCTAGATGCAGGTGTCCCTGGCCTTTTCGAGCCTGTGTGCACCATTGGAATTCTGACACAGGGTGCTGGGCACAGCTACAAAATGGATGCCTCGGAAGGTGGAGCCAACCACAAAATGGCTGCCACCAGACATTGCAGCCACACATACAGTGTGCAGGGAGAAGGGAATACACAAGGAAAGTGGAGTGACATAGTATAAAAGCAACATTGTAGTAGCAGCTGAAATAACATTATTTTAATCTGCCCGGCCCAATCAGAAAGCCTGTAGGGCAAGTGTCACACATGGCCCCACCTACATTCTAACAACACTTGACGGGTGTCAGAAAAGGTGTCAGCAGGTGCTGTGGCATCCACGAACACGACATTGGGGACCCCGAGCTAGTGAGTGAACCTGGAAGGAACCCTCTGCAAGCAAAGCAGGTGTTCTACTGCTGAGCTCTCCCTCTCTCTCTCTTTCTGCCAGACCCCTTGCGAATAGCAAGCCCCCCAGAGAAGCTGGCTTGTGCCAGTGATGCTCTCCTTCCCTCTGTGATGCTCTTCTTCCCTCCTGCCCCCCACAGGACCCCTCTTCCCCCCACAGCGTCCACTCCTTCTCCTCCCGAGAGAATGGGGTAGACAAAGTGTCCCTGCAGCGGAAAGAGACGATTCAGCTCAGTCCCACCTCCATGGCTTCCTCCAGCAGCACCTCCCCACCACGGATCACCAAGGATGTGGTCGTAGTAAGTGTAGCATGGTTGTGCATGGTGCTTGGTGTGTGCATGTGCAAGAGAGTGTATTTTAGTATGGGAACAAATTGGGGAAAGAGGCAATTCTGAAACGGAAAAATTGGAGTCAGGACTTTCCAGTGTGTTCCGTTTTAGAGGGCTGAATTTTTAACAAATGTATTGATGGATGAGGATGGGAATGCCGTGCCTCTCCTCTAAAGCTAGAATGGGGCTGGTTTTAGGGTTGCCGACATCCAGGTGGGGCCTTGAGATCTCATAGATTTACAGCTTGGGGTAGACAAAGTGTCCCTGCAGCGGAAAGAGACGATTCAGCTCAGTCCCACCTCCATGGCTTCCTCCAGCAGCACCTCCCCACCACGGATCACCAAGGATGTGGTCGTAGTAAGTGTAGCATGGTTGTGCATGGTGCTTGGTGTGTGCATGTGCAAGAGAGTGTATTTTAGTATGGGAACAAATTGGGGAAAGAGGCAATTCTGAAACGGAAAAATTGGAGTCAGGGCTTTCCAGTGTGTTCAGTTTTGGAGGGCTGAATTTTTAAAAAATGTATTGATGGATAAGGATGGGAATGCCGTGCCTCCCCTCTAAAGCTACAATGGGGCTGGTTTTAGGGTTGCCGACATCCAGGTGGGGCCTTGAGATCTCATAGATTTACAGCTGATCTTCAGAGATCACTTCCCCTGGAGAAAATGGCTAGGAGGGTGGACTCAATGGCATTGTACTAGGGGTGTGCATTCGGCTTTGCCAAATGGAATAAATACCAAAAAAATACCTTATCGGTATTTTTCGGGTATTTTTTCCTTATTTTTCAAGTATTTATTCCTTATCGATATTTTTCAGGTATGTATTTTTTGTCATCTTCTGGGCGTGGAACAGAGGTCACTGGGGGGTGTCTAATCTGATTCAGCTACCAATAAGGTGCTCCTGAATAAAAGCCGATCTTATTTGGCTTTTATTCGGGTGCCCATCCCCGAATCAGGGAGGGAAGGGAAACCAGATCGGGGAGGCATCTTTAAAAGCCTCCCCAATCTGTCTTCGCTTCCCCCACTCAGTCTGCCATGGCCCCCCGGGTGGGGAAGTGAAGGGGAGGGTGAGCGGGTCAGTTTTACTTCCCTTTGCTTGAAAGTGGAGGGAGTGAAACTGACCCATCTTTACCTCCCATTCCCTTCCCCAGCCACTCTGCTGTGGCAGGGCGGCTGGGGAAGGGAAGGCAGCAGCAGTATGGCTGGGGGAGAAAGGGGGAGGCATTCAAATGCCATTCCCTCCGTTCTCCAACCAGGCTCCCCCTTTGGAGTTGCACTGCAGCAGTGGCACGGTCTCTCCTTTGTACCCTATGGTTTAACATTTTTAAATTCCTTCTCTCTTCACTTCACTTTCCAGTCTGGGGAAGCGAAGGGGAGGCATCTTTAAAAGCCTCCCCGATCTGTCTTCGCTTCCCCAGTCAGAATGCCATGGCGGCTGGCTGGGGAACCTCAGGGAAGGGAGAGTGGGTCAATTTAACTCCTCCTTGGCTTGGAAGCAGAGGGGGAGTGAAACTGGCACAACTGGCTGGGGAACCTCAGGGAAGGGAGAGCGGGTCAATTTCACTTCTCCTTGGCACAATATTTTCAGCAATGCCCAGTATTTCCAAATCCCACTATAGTACCAATACTAGGATTTGGGAATATTGGGATTTACTGATATTTTTCGGGTTTGGTTTACCCAAATCCGAAAGATACCGATTTTTTTTTCCATGCACACCCCTACTGTGCTGAGGTCCCTCCCATCCCAGAATCCTGCTTTCCCCAGGCTTCACCCCCAAATCTCCAGGAATTTCCCAACTGGGAGCCAGCAACCCTAGCTGGTTTTGCATGTGCATGAGTCTTGCGCAAATGCAACTGAATGTGTGAGCCACCTTCAGGGAAGTAATGTGATGGTTTGCGTTGGACCCTTGTGTGTAGGGGCAGCGCATTCAGGATACAAAGTCAGGTGTTTTGGAATGCTGGCGGATGAGAATCCGGGGCTCCTTTTGGCTGCTATTGGCCATGTTTGAACGAACGGGCTGGGAATATATTGGGCAGCAACGGAACGTTCACAAGCAGTCTCACCACAAGATCTCTTGGCCCTGTTATAATGGAGACCAGAAGGACCGAGGCTGCCTGGGTTCCTATTGGCTGAGCTTGAACGAAGGCTGTAAGAATACATGGGGCAGTGACAGAATGTTCATAAGCAGTCTCATCACAAGATCCCTTTCCCTGTTATAATGGAGACCAGAAGGACCAAGGCTGCCCTTGCGGCCTGCCTGTGGCTCAAAGCCCAGAAGGAATGGCATTGCGTAATGGCCTTGTGGCATAGCTGGGGGGAAGGGGGGGGGGAAGAATTCCTCCCTCAAATTGCTCTCCTGGGGAGTGAGGTTTTTCTGTTTTTCTTTCCAGTGCCGATTGTGGCAGCTGCGGCTTGGGAAGACAGCGGCGAGAGGCCTCCAGGAAGGGCAGCCAAGTGTGCTGCCAGGTTTTGAAAAATTCATTTCGGAGGTCCCGGAGGAGGAAGGAAGGATTACGACATGTTCGTTCTCCTCGTCCCCCCACCGATTCCTGACTTGTGCTTTCTACCCCCTCAGTGGACAACTTGACCACTGCGCATTCCTCTTTTACAAACAGAAGCTTCAGCACGGAGCCAAATTCAGAGATTCGAGATGTTTTCTCTTCTTTGAACCGTCTAACGCAGACTTTTCGTATTGCACTGTAACCTATTTCATTCGGTGCAATTATTGGCTGTGTTTCGGCTACAGCCGAACCGCGTAAATAGCCACGGCGGATAGTGGCCCCCACACCAAGTGACCAGCAAGCATTTGTAAATTGGAAGAGAGTAGGCTCTTTTCTTCAAAGCAAGGAAAGCCCCCCAAAAGTGCCCAATTTTTTTTTATTATTTAAAAGCTCCTTTTTTGTGTCGGGGAGTTTTAAATTTCAAAACATTCCCGGTGGTGGGGAGAGAATCTACAAATATAATATATAGGGGAAATAACATGATTTTAGGAAATCTATTAAAACATTGTATGATGAAACCTTTAAAATCCTGAAGAGGCAAAAATATCGTTGCTAATTTTGGATTTTAATGGGAAAGAATAAAAAAAAACTCTTAAATACAAGCAGGGGGGCCTACAAGGACTCAATTGGGGGAGGGACCCTTTGGAAATCCCATCCCAATTTTCCCCCCAACCAGGATTCTATAAACTCACTGGGGCTGCATTCAGACGGGAAACTAATCCCACCATTGTCCCGGCTTTAATTTGATCTAGATCTTTTTCATCCGGCGGTGCATGACCAGACAGCTTCCCTTACTGCGTGCGTACTTCGCGGTGGATTGTCTAGATGGTGTCCACTTGAAGGAGCTGAGTGGTCAGGGTTTTTTTTTTAAATTCTCTTTGTGCATGCGCATCCGCGCCTCAACGTGTACTTGTTTTTCCGTGCACGCGCGTAATTTAATGGTTAAAGCACTGCCAGTGGCACCTCCCTCTAGGTACCTTTTTAATTAACACAGTTCATAAAATTCACAGGCAATTAAGAAACACGAAATTGTCCAGGACGTTTGAGTGGAGCTCTGCGGCTGTCGCGCGTATACCCGCTTATGCGCACACCGCTAAGATTTTTTTTTTAAATGGAGGGTTGTGCGCTGGAAAGATCAGACGGGGGAAAGTCCACCATTGGCCCGTCAGCAAGCATTAGCCCCGGACTTTAACTAGTATCTTTTAATTATGGCTCCCTGGCGGGGCTAAACGGGCTGATCACGGAAGCCGCACGTTTCCCAGATTTCAGTGTCTGATCATTCCCTTTCAATCCACCAGGCACTCGTGCCTGGCATGGATCTAAAGACCTGTCTGACCATCACCTGGGTCTTGATTTCCCCAGCCCTCTCTTTTCTTTAATTGATTCTCCGCTGCCCTTGGCACCCCATGTTTCCTGGTGCCTGCTCAGTCCCAATCAATTTTTAAAACTTTGCTCCTCCTCCTTTCGGTTGATTTGCAAAAGCTGTGTATTTTTCTGCATACCTGGAGAGAGCCCCCCCCCCGAGTGTTTGTAGACCCTCCTACTTTGTCTCCGATGGGCGTGATTGTGCTGCTTTTGTGATTGTCTCCGGGGAACGCTATTAGAAGGCGGAGGTATAGGCTGTGTGTTGTTCTTTAAGAAGATAACTATCACCAGACTGCATCGACATGAGAGCGACATGTGGCAGATGGTTTCATACAAGCAGGTCAAAAACATTTGGAACTGGCAGTGTTCTTAAACTTTTTTTTAAAAAAAACCCTCAGTAAAACTAGCCTAAAGCAAATCTAGACAGACCAATGTGTTTAGAACTGGAGACACAGCTAGGGTTGCCAGCTCCAGGTTGGGAAATACCTGGAAATTTTGGGGGTGGAGCCTGAGGAAGGTGGGGTTTGGGAAGGGACCTGTCTGGGGTACAATGTTGTAGTGTCCACCTTCCAAAGTTGCCATTTTCTCCAAAGTAGCTGATATCTGTCACCTGGAGATAAGTTCTACTCTTAGGAGATCTCCAGCCACCACCTGGAGGTTGGCAACCCTAGACACAGTGCTTCGCTTTCAAAGGATCTGTGTCCCCTTGCAGGGGTAGGGCTGCACACCTGTGCCCACTTACTTGGGAGCAAGTGTGCGTGTACACGAAAGCTTCTACCCAGAATTAAACTTAGTTGGTCTTCAAGGTGCCCGACTGGACTCAAACTTTGTTCTGTTGCTTCAGACCAACACGGCGACCCACCTGAATCTATTTGTACCTTAGTAAGCATGAGTCCAGAGCTGCGGTGGCTCAAGTGGTTAAGACGCTGAACTGCAGGCTGTAGAAGGTCAGTAGTTCAGCAGTTCGAGACCCGAGTGTGCCGCACGACGGAGTGAGCTCCCGTCTCTGGTTCCAGCTCCTGCCAACCTAGCAGTTCGAAAGCAAGAAATTGCAAGTAGATAAATAGGTACCACTTTGGTGGGAAGGTAACAGCATTCCGTGCGCCTTGGTGTTTAGTCATGCCGGCCACATGACCACGGAAACGTCTTCGGACAGCGCTGGCTCTTCGGCTTTGAAACGGAGACGAGCACCGCATCCCTAGAGTCGGATTCGACTGGCTTTCGAGCAAGGGAACCTTTACCTTTTTAAGCATGAGTCCAGTTAGGTTTGTTTTGGGGATGCAAAAGGCCACCATGTCATCTGTTTCAGAAAAAAAGGATTGGATTGTGTAAGCTCTCCTTGGTTATGGGAAGAGGGCATGTGTAGTTGAGCGAGGATTGCCTGCAACATCTGAGCTCAGGAATACAAAATGAGTGATGCACTTAAACAGTCTTGCCTTGGGAAATAAAACTTTACCCTTCTTCCACGGTGAATTAGGCAGGCAAAGTCTAGAGAGGCCAGTGTGTTAGTCTCTTGCAGCAGAACAAGACAAGAGTTTGGTGAGTCGTCAAAGACGAATGCGATTAGCTTTTGTGAGCCGACGCACTCCCGTGCATCTGACGAAGTGAGCTTTGACTCACGGAAGCTTCTGCTGGAAGTCACTTGGTTTATCTTTTAAGGTGCCACCGGAGCACCATAAAACAGGAGATTCTAAACTTGTTTATAGATCCAGGTTGGCAGCCGTGTTGGTCTGAACCAACAGAACGAAGCGTGAGTTCAGTGGCGCCTTGAAGACCAACAGAGTTTAATTCTGGGTGTGGGCTTTCGTGACATGAAAGCTTATGCCCAGAATTAAACTTTTTCCTAGAACTGTTTCCGTTTCTCCCTTGGCCTTTGGGCCTCTCTCCACGCTCCCGCCTCCTTTCTCCTGTAGACCCTTTCAGGTCCACCTCAATGGAAAATGGCCAGTTAACTCCTGGAAGATTCCTTCACTCTTCCTTGCAGCTTCTACATATTTCAAGCAAGGTTCTTCCATGCTTCTGGCTAACTCCGTCAGCATGTGCTACCACAGACTGGGATTTAGAAGGGAAAACGGGATTTAGAAGGGAAAACTTGTTCCGCAGTCTCTTGACGACTGATGAAAAGGTAGCTTTAGTTCAGCAACTCTGAGCATTCCCAGAGTGCAGATTCAGCCGTCTAGTAAAGTTGCAAACTTCTACACAACTACTTGTGCTCTGTTTAGCCATTGAGTCTCATAGCTGTGGAAGGCCCTCTCTTCATCCCCTGTTTGAAACTCTCTAAGCTAGCACCTCTTGTGGAAGTGAGTCCCACATGTTAGTTAAGAATGGCAAATGATTAGTTTTTGTCTGTCCCAAATCAGCTGCATTCAATGCCTCCCTAATGACTCCCCAGGAGCTGCGGTGGTTCAAGTGGTTAAGACGCTGAACTGCAGGCTGTGGAAGGTCAGCAGTTCAGCAGTTCGAGACCCGGGTGCCGCATGATGGAGTGAGCTCCCATCTCTAGTTCCAGCTCCTGCCAACCTAGCAGTTCGAAAGCAAGAAACTGCAAGTAGATAAATAGGGACCACTTCGGTGGGAAGGTAACAGCGTTCCGTGCACCTTGGTGTTTAGTCATGCCGGCCACATGACCACGGAAACGTCTTTGGACAGCGCTGGCTCTTCGGCTTTGAAATGGAGATGAGCACCACAACCCTAGAGTCGGATTCGACTGGCTTTCGAGCAAGGGAACCTTTACCTTTACCTTTAATGACTCCCCATTAGGGGGTTGGACTAGATTGCCTATATACCCCCTTACAACTCTGTGATTCTATGATTCCCAGCTCTGTAATATGGGAGAAAAAGTTTAGACTTCTCATTTATGGTCCCTTGGGAACCTCAGCTTTTGGGCAGGGCAAATTCCCTCCCAACTAGAAACCCTGGGAGATAGATTTGAAACAGCAAGAAAATAGGAATCCTGCCTCGTATCCGTGGCGAACCGATACCTCGCTCCGCAGGCAACTTTATGCAAAATTCAGTCTGTTTAGGAGAAAGTCAGAGGCTATTCCAGCAGAGCCTTCCCAGATCGGCAAAAACCATGGAACAACCCGGTGTGATGTAGCAGTTATAGAGTGTTCAACTAGGATCTGGGCGACCTGGGTTCAGCTTGCTGGTTGGCCTCGGTCCTGTTGTTTTCTCTGTTGCGAGGATTAAGTGGGGAAGGGAGAACTGTGTTCCTTGCTCTGAGCAAGGGAGGGGTGGAGTTAGAATCGACTAAGTAGCTGGGTAGACGTTTTATCAGCCTGCCCGGCTTGAGAGCAGGAGTCGATCTGTTTGCTAATGGTGGGTCCACAGTAGAAAAACAGGAAAGGGTCCCCCCCCTCGCTTCCCTTACCTTCTGGATCTGGGAGATCAGAGTCTGATGTGCCCCCCCCCGGGAAACTGGGGGGGAGGGGAGCTACCTCTTGGTTTTGCTCTTCCCTTTCGGGGTGGGGAGAGAGAACCTTGGCTTCATCCCATCAACCAGGTCTTCCATCTCGTCTGGCCTCCCCCAGCTCTCCCCTCCCCCCCTCTCCATCTCACCGCTCATTACCCTGTGCGCTAGCTCTACAAACCTCACAGCTACGCAACCCCACCTGGGTACTGTGCGGTCAGTGCCGAAGGCGCCGTCTGATTTGAGCTTCGATTATGATTTGCATGCTTTGACTGTCCTTTTAATTTGTCGTACCCCACTCTGAGCCTTGCAACGCGAGGAAGAGGGCGGGTTAGAAATCTAATAAAATAAATAAACCAATCGGAGGGCAGAGACAACAAAGATCCGGAGATATTTATATGTGTCCTGCCTCTTGATTCAACATCAGGCACTGGGTTTTTGCTTGCAGAAGGGTGGACTCCCCCACCCCACCCCTACTTGCAACCAATGCTCCCTCTAAGCTGTGGAGTCTTGTGAGCAAAAATTCTACTTTGTGAGCTACTGGCATTAAAGTTGTGAGCGAGCGGTTTGGCTACTGCATAAATTGGTTTGCTCTGGAGCCATCCTTCCTGAGCTAAGACAAAAATGTGTGAGCCAGAGGCTAAAAAATTGTGAGCTAGCTCACACTAACTCAGCTTAGAGGGAACACTGCTTGCAACTATAGTAGTAAGGATCAGGATAAGTAGAATCATAGAATGTTAGGGTTGGAAGGGACCTTGCAGGTCATCCAGTCCAACCCCCCGCACCCTGCAGTAGCATAGCTGAAAGATGGTCGTCCAGCCTCCGCTTGAAAACGTCCAGCGAAGGAGCATCCACCACCTCCCGAGGCAGTCTGTTCCACTGCTCAACCACTCTTACAGTTAGGAAATTTCTCCTGATATTTAGCCGGTATCGACTCCCTTGTCATTTCCACCCATTAGATCTAGTCCTGCAATACGGAGCAAGAGTGAACAGATCTGCTCCATCTTCTACATGACAGCCCTTCAAATATTTGAAGTAGTGTCAGGGCAGGTGGTAGTGGAAAAATGAGGCTGGAGAGGGGACCTCCTTATCGTGGTCTAGTCCAGGGGTGTCCAAACTGTGGCTCGGGAGCCACATGTGGCTCTTTCACACATATTGTGCAGCTCCCGACAGGGCGGCTGGGAAAGCGAAGGGCAGGCATGCCTCCCTGATCGGTCTCCCCGTCCCTCGCCAGTGTTTCCCTCCCTGGGTAGGCTTGAGGGGGCGGGGGGCAGAGAAAGAAAG